ATAGATTCGCCAAAAGTAAGTGTTCTAGGATCTTGAAGTTACGATACCCTCTACTGTTTAAAATTCTTTTAGCCAACAGACTATTACAATCATATCGTAAATGCCTCATTAAATTATATTGCTCAACTATATCAATTTCATAAGTTGAATTATAAATATTGTAATAAAAAAACCGATACTTGGGTTATCGATATATCGATAAGTTTTTAAAAAGCGTATTTCATACGTTTATGAACATATCATATTTAAATTTATAATATTCATGTTATTATTTTCATATTTGCATTTTAAATAATCATACCTAATATTTATCGATATATCGATAAATTTTCAAAATGTTTACATCAAATTATTGTTATATTCATTGAAAATATTTATTGATATATCGATAAATTTTTAAAATATTAATACCATATTATTTTTGTATTCACATTAAAAATAATCATGCCTAATATTTATTTACATATCGATAAAATTTCAAAATATTTATTTTTTTAATTTATTTTTATATTCGCATTTAAATTACTTAAGTTCGATATTTAACGATATATTCTTATATGTTTATTTTTATATATTTTATTCTTATATTCAAATTGTTTTTTTATTCTCCGACTATATATCGATATATCAACAAATTTTTAAAATGTCACTTTAAAATATTAATATATTTTCATATTTGCATTTAAAATGTTTCTGCACGATTAATATCGATGTATCGATAAATTTTTAAAATATTTATTTTATATTATTTTCATATTTGCATTTAAAATATTCCTGCCCGATATATATCGTTAAATTTTCAAAACGTTTATATAGAATAATATTTATATTCACACTTAATATACTCATGCTGCATATTTATTAATATATCGATAAATTTTTAAAAAATGTATTTAATATTATTTTTATATTCGCTTTTTAAATATTCATGCTCATAATAATTAGTTTATGAAAACTCATATGAACAATAGTTTTATATTATGCACATATAATATTAATGCAAATAAATTTAAAAAACTTTTAAATGTCAATTTTTTATTTGAAAAATTTTCACTTGATTCTCCCTAAAGTGTTTCAAAATTACCAAATTGTGTACCATTAAGCAGAGCGAAATGATATCATCAAACTTTCTACCATTCAACTCGTATTCATTTGTGCGAATCTATCTATGTACCCTTATGAGTAGAGATAATAACATATATAATATTTTGAATGTGCTATAATAATATAACTCATTGATTATAAATGAGAGAAAAACTTTGCTTAATTTTTTAGGAGATGAAACTTTTCCGTTTGCAATGCGAAAAAGTTTTTAATAATATTTTGATATCAAAAAATTATTATGTGACTGATTTTGGGGAAATATTAAAATTTTCAATGTTTATTAGGGACATAATTTTTATAATTCATTTTTCTATAACATAGTTGCATATAATGTAAAATATTTGATAACAGTCAGCAAAAGAAAACAAAGTGTGCAACTCGACTGGAGCTACGAGTAGTTCACATATCAGCAATGAAATTTTGAAAGGACTTTTATCATTTTAACTTTTTTATTGTGTGCAGATATTCCCAAGGCAAGCAATATGCAAAAAAAGCTGCCATATATAATGTGTAGTTGGGGTTTTTGCCTAAAAATACGAAATATAAATTTTGAAAAAACCTTAACCTTCACCCTTGTGTAGCCTTCGAACTACGTATTTTATCCTCTTTTGCCGTAAAGTATGCAATATATTTTGTTTGTAACAGAAGTTGCAAGCTTCTTGTTTGTTAGACTTTTACGCAAGGACCTTGTGTTTGTCGGACGGTAAATGCTACTGAGGATTTTATTAAGGTGCATGTGTGAGCAGCCAAAGTTTTGCATTTTCCGTAGAAGTTCAGAATACGAAATGGGTTATATAGTTTAGTTAGCTAAAATTGCTGAGTTAAATGGCAAGTTTTATACAAGTTTGTAATAAATTTGAACTTTTTTTCTGGTAAGAAGTAAGTAGACAAAAAATTGTCTCCTGCTGCAATAACAAGGTGCAAGATGCAAGGTGCAAGGTGCAAGGTACAAGGAGTTGTTTTAATTTGTGGCAATTTAACTGAAATGTTTTGAATGTTTTTTACACAATTATGGCGTTAAGCCACAAACAAAAGTTTTGTTGCTAAGACAAGCAAAAATTACTTTACCACATAAAATGAATTTTGCATAAAAATCAGAAAAAAAAATATAAAAAAAAATAGACTGTAATTTGTGAAAAAACAAAAAAGGAAACACTAAGTGAAGAGTCCAAAAACAGCACCTAAATATGTGCCAATTTTTCTTAAGCTGTCAAATTGCCATTGTCAAAATGCCAAATGCAAACGTGCGTTCATGCCTATGTGCATGTACCGCTTGGGTTGAGTCTGTTTGTGCTGTCAGTGAGCGTGCCAAAATGACAAATTACAAAGTGTTAACTTGGTGTTAATTTTGCATCAAGGCTACATATATTTTCGGTAGGTTTTTTCTGGAAATTTTTTGTTGCCATTTTTTTTTTTTACTTAACCAACGAGTTTGTTAGCGCGCCTAGAAGTATGGCTTGACTTCTGTAATGGCTTAAGCTTAAGTTTTTGTGACAATTTTATTTTTGTTTTTATCAACTGGTATTATCCATATCACTTCTTTTTTTTTATTTCCTTCTCTTACTTGACAAATGCAAACAAATACTTTGCTACATATTGTTACATATGCATTCGTATGGATTTGTCGCAGCTTACCTCTGTCCGTCCACCGCAAACTGTTCGTTCTGTAGATATAGTTTGATATATGGCTGTCTCGTATGCAATTTATAACGACAATTTAATGCACGTGGATATAAGCCAGGATATGCGGGTGATTGAACATAGCAGGTTTGTAGACGGCAATCACGATATTCCCGTTCACAATAGGACCTGCAAAAAAAGAAATTGAGGGAAAGAAGTATAGAATGATTACATGAAATTTTAGAGAAACACAAATGCGTAAAAATAAAAATAAAAAAATTTCAAAGACAAATTTTTACCTATAAAATATATATTT